ACGAAGAAAAATGTTTCCATTTTTTAAAAAATTGTATTACATTTATTCTTTTCTTAAGGAGTATGACATCCTCGAATTACATGATTCATATGTTGCAATAGAGTTGTTTTGGCTCAGAATGGGTTGGATGATGACACTTTTTATGGTAACATTTGGTTCCAATTTGAATGTTTTGGAAAACCCAAACTTTGAGTTGATTGAAGCTATGCTTATAAGAGTTGTTGACTATAATTAAATGAAATCTCTTATCTCATGAGGTTCGTTTAGGTGATTCTTTTCATTCAACTAGTTCAACAAGAAGAACTTCAAATGAAATTGGTTGTTATCTTGCACAAGTGTCATTATTAATCACAATCTAATTTCATTGTGAGTAGTGGAGAATGAGATTATTTCATTGTAGAGGGGCTAGCTCCAACAAGAGCAAGTTGATCAACAAGACTTTTGAGTAGATGTGAATAAATTTGTATTAGAAGCAATGTAAGCCATTTTTAGTTCTAACATAGTCTCAAATATGTATAAAGCAAAAGTTTATTTTGATCTCACATGAAATAATTTAGATTGAAATTTGAAGTCCTTGAGTGATTGTAGGTATAAATTGAGATACATCGGAGTTTATGTAATCGAAAATTTTACATCGGAGTTTATGTAATCGGAGTTTATGTACATATGAATACCACCCAATTCCAATGTATTTACATTTCTAAAACTTGAGCTTTACTTTTTATTTTTATACCCTTCAAATCTTTCACATCACATAAAAAATGTTATCTTTTTAACTTTTAAAAAGTAAAATACACTTTATCCTACCTAAGAAAGGTGACATGTATGAAAGTAGAAGTTGGTGTTAGATATATAAATACATAGAAATTGAGTGATATGTATGCTAACTTTTTCTTATGATAGCATTGGCCATAAAGATGATGTGATTAGCTCATTGGAGTTTGAGGTTACAAATGAAGCACCCTTATTTATTTATTTTTTAAATTGTCACTCAAATATCAAAATTCATGATAAAATCTCAGCTTATATTTTTATTTTTTTATCAAATTCTTAGTAATTTAATCTTCAGTAGTTCAAAAAAAAAATCACTTAATTATTTAATTTGTAAATAACAAAATTTTGAGATGATTATCTTGATATTTTATTTGGAGGAGGTTAAAGACTATGAAAAAGGTTCATTCAATGCACTCTTTGAAGCCTTTAGTGGTAGGTGTTTTCTTAATGGATAAAATATAAGCTATCATTTCATATGATATATGCAAACAACTAAAACTAATTGCCTTTGTCAAAAAGAAAGCTCCTCGTTCGTAAACAACTCGTGTTTAGCTCTTTAAGAAGCTCTTCTTCAGCTCGTTTATTAAGTAAACGAGCTGAACACAAATAATTTTTAAGCTCGAATTATAAACGAGTCGATCAAGAACAGCTCTTTGTGCGGTCGTGTTAGGTTAGTATTAGCTCAAAATAAAATTACATATATTATTTATATAATAATATACTATATATATTTCTATCTAGGTTTAAATTATAACAACTTGCATGATAATGTGGTTATGTGCCTTTTTTTACATTGATTTGGTCCATATTTGAATCAAATACTCTACATCTATTTTTTTTAATAAATTATAACAAGCAGATTTCAAGCACAGACAATTTTGAACAAGCCAAACATGAGCTCAAGCTCGACTCATTTACAACCCTAATCATACAACCGAGTTTGGCCTCCCCAAATGACTGTGAGCACATCACGGGAGTGATTGAAGATAAGATAAGTCACACACACACTATATATTAATAGCTAGAACGCCAAACGACAATTAAACTTAAAAAAAAAAACTAATTATAATTTTGATAGTTTATCATTTTTTAGTTCATATCATCTTGAAAATCCTGGAAGATTTCTACTTCATTCAAATTAAAAAAAATAATAAAGTAAATTATTTAGTGGCTGTTTGGTTGGAAAGATTTGTGGTATATTGTAATTCATTAAAAAAGATTTGACGAATTTATGTGTTTGGTATGAAGAAGTAAAAGTACAATAAAAATTCTAATGAATTTAAAATTCACTCCTTAATTCATTTTGGTTGAATTTAGAAGTCTGTCGATTTAACTGAATTTGAAATACACTCTGAAATGCTATCAGCCAACTGTCGTCCATCGGCCGTTGCTACCCCCCACTACCACCGCCCCGCTGCCTGTCGCCCGTCGCCCGTCGCCCGTCGCCCGTCGCCCCGTCCCAACAACGAACTATTTTGTTAGTATTTATTTAATGTTGTTTGATTGCCAAAAAAATTTCTTATGATGTATATTCAATTATTAATTTTTAAATTTTATAAATTTATATATTAATAATTTTATATAAACAATCAAGTACTCCTTTGATTTTACCTTATTTATCATTTCTAGTTCTCCCAATTTGATTTTACTTTATTTATCATATCTATTTCTCCTCATGAAAAATTAATTACAAATTAAAATTTAAAATTTCATATCATGTACTTATTTAAATTTTTAGTTTGTTCGGCTAATATAAACAAAGTACAAATTATATATAATCATTAGAAATTTTAAAAAAGTTGAATGAACACATATGCACAAATTCGAGTGAAGCTCAAATGGATCATGAAAAACTTATGAGGAGAGTACAAGCCATGACATGTTCGGCTCGACTCGATTATAGCCTTACACGTGCAAGTCATGAACTTAGACCATATCTTTCACTTCAATTGATTGCTTCTATTTTTATTACAACAAACACTTCGCTCATGGAGGTAAAATGAAAAACCATATCTATTTGATGTAGAATCTCATAGATGTTGTTCTCTTCAACCCTAAATCCTAACAATTTTTCACCCAATTCAACTACCATATTTTCGGCCTATCAAAATTTAAAAACAAGTTTTAGTAAATAATATCTTATTTTCAAACTACAACAAATGCATATTCACAAGAAGATATAATATAAAAAATTTCCAAATGTTAGTGTCATTTCCTATCTACGTCATTATTAAAGTCCTAGTGAAGGACATACAATTCAAAATTACAATGTTATGGCTATATTGTTGATGCATATTTTAGCAAAATGCCACGAAAATTTTTTGTTAGTCTTGAAAGTCAAGTAATACATATCATGATAATCATCAATTTCAGACTTAATCACCACATTTATTGTTTTATGATGAGTGTAAGATCTATATTGTGTTTTAAAGGATAATTCATCAAGACAATGTGGTAAACTCTCCCTATCAGTTTCAATTGTCTCAGTTAGATGGCTTGGCATATGTTATGGTTCAAATCAGCTTACTCAATCAGCGTAATATTCTACCAACTCACCCATACTTTAGATGTGCTCTTCTCCTCCATAGATCACTACTCCTTAAAAATTTTAAGGTTTTCACCTAATGCATGGATACTCTCTCAACCTAATCATAAAATAAATACATTACTTCATATTTTATAATGTAATATTTGAGTATTGACATTCTATCACTGGCAGGAGCGAAAAATCTTTCATAATATGATTTCAAAAACATCTGGAATCCCTGCAAACAGTGAAAATAGCAAATTGCGGCGGCAACACGCAACAACCACTTGCGGGGGGAGGCAACTGGCAACAATCATTGGCGGCGGGAGGCAACCAACACCCGCAAATTGCAGCAATAGTGAGGTGCAGCGATAGGCTATGACAATGGACGGCCACAAGCAGCCGCCAACAAGAGGGCTTGATAACAGCTAAGTCTGATTCAAATTCGATTAAATCAATTGAATTCTTAATTCTACTAAAATGAATTTTTATATAAACTTCATATTAATTCAAAATTTACATTTTATTTATAATTTTTTATATCAAATCTTGCAAACAAGTTACCTCATTTTTTCTATTTGTTTCAGCGTCCCACGACGAGCCTGACATGAATTTGGCAAAAAAACGGGCCACGTGATCAACCCCGCTGCCCGCTTTCACGATCTCATTTTTCCTCTTCTGCCCGCATATCACAACGTGACCATTGCCCTAGCGACTCGCGAAGCCAATGCTCTCATGTCGCTTCCCTGCCCGTCCCCTGCTCCTGATCCTCTCGCAAAGCCGAGTCGCCTACTGCTCTTTCTTCCACCGTCGCTTGAAGCACATTGACGAAGGCCATGACTTTGGGCGAAACCGGGAGCTATTCATCGTTACCTTCCCAGCTTGCTCTAATCCCGAATGCACCATAGAAACAGAGTTCTACAAATGCATTGAATAGATGATTTCTTCAAGGGAACAATCCTCATAATATATGTTAAAAAATCACGATTGTATGATATAAACAAAATAATTTAAAACTCTTTCAATTTTTTTTTTTTGCCCCCATTATTTTACCACTGCAACTTACAAGTTTGTGTAATATTTTACATTAAAAAAAATATAAATTGAAGAAAGTTTGATGTAGATTGGTGCTTTGATCCCTTGGCTTAAATTTGTCAAATCCTTCTATTTTGATTTGAGTTTACTTATGAGTACATCAAATCCTTAAAGATGTTATAATTTTCTTATTTTAAATGTAATTTTATTAATTTTATTTCTTTTTTTTTATAGAAATGAATTTCAAATTTTAGAAGTATAAAAAAAATAATTTTTATAGTATACTTTTAAACAGTTTTAACAAACAGTGACGTTATGATCATTTTTCCAAAAACAGCTACCCTACAATTATTTTAACATAATTGCCCCAAACAGGTAGTCAATTTCTCCTGCAGCTGCACTGTTCTGCCACGTGACTTAACGAGAAGCTGCGGCTGCACTTATCCGGATTTAATAAATCCAAATCCTTAATTTGCGACCTTCATTACTAACATCCCTAATTTTTTTTACGATAAATCAGCTAAACTTAAACATTTATACATAAAACTTAAAAAAATGCTTCGTTATAAATCCCTGCTAAATCCTGCAATTAAGAAAGGAAAAAACAATTAAATTATATAATCTTTTTTTAAATATATTAAAAAAAAGCAACAAAGTTACCAGAACCATACATATAGATTCAAACATTAATCATACTTGATCTTAACAACAAAGCGATAAAACAGGGCAAGGAAAGCAAGACCTAAAAACCCTAAACCCTACTCAATGCTGACATGGATGACATCCTTCCTCTCCTCCTGCTTCACCTTGGGCACAATAACCTTCAGCACGCCGTTCTTCATCTCCGCCCTAATAGAGTCCAGCTTGTAGGTCTCCGGCGCCAGATCAATCCTCGAGCTGTATCTCCGCTGGCTATCCTCATCCCCCTCTTCCGCCTCACCTTCTCCTTTAATCAAAAGCGTCCCCTGCTCTGCGCTCACCTTCACGTTTTCCTTCCCTAGCCCCGGCATGTCAATGCGCAAGTACAACGCATCCTTATCCTCCCTCGCGTCCCATCCCCGCCGGACGCCGCTCGCGCTTCTAGCCGATGACTGGAACGGTCCATCAAGCATCGAGTCCATCATGTTTAGCAGCTGGCTCACCGTCCGTGGGACGAATGGATCCATCACATCTATAATACAGTAAGAAGATTGAATTTACATCTCCCATCTTAACAATCATTCAATGTTCGAGCAAAGCGGAGATTATTACCTGATAAGAAGCCTGGGAAACCGTCGGCTCGTCGGCGTGAAACGGCGCCGCCGTCGGAGCGACGGCCGACCTCAAGCTCACGATCGTCCTCTGGTTCGCGGAGCTGGGCATTTGTATTGAACGAACGGGCGAAAACAGAAGCTGAGGCAGGCAGCGGACGAGCCGGCGACAATAGAAGATTTTGAAAGGCTTTCCCGAGCGTGATCGACCTCTTCGCAGCTATTAAGGCCGCCATGACGATTTATGAATTTAGAAAGATGGAGATTTGTAGTGGATGATTTCTTGAACTCACTGCTTCGTTGCCAATAATTGCAGAGGCTTCTCCTTTTATAGGGGTTTAGGGTTAATCGGCAATGGAGGTCGTCTGAAGCTTCGACAATGTATTCCCGAGGAGCATGGAAGGCTTTAGAAGGAGATCAGAGGGATGCAGGGAAAAAACAATAAGGAACGTTCGAGAGTATGCTGCAATGTTCTGGATGAGCGTAGTTTTTTTTTTATATATATAATAATTTTAGTAATGCCTATTAAATTTTAATTAATTAAAAAAAATTACATACATAGGTGTATTTACATGTCAAGGTCTCATATTTGATAGCATTTTCAGATAAATAAGTAATTCAAATATTAAAAAATATTAATTTTATTTATTAAAAAATATAAGTACTATCTATATAATTTTTCATTTTAACATTTGATGATAAAAAAAAAAATAGCAGGGATTATAAGAATTATATGTTTACATGTAAATATGAAAGTTTAGGTTGAGATATTTAAAAACATAAATAATTTGTGCTACAACAACTTGCACATAGACCCAAGCTTATTTCTTTTTCAATCATTGATTGATAATATCATGAATGTTTTAGATGGTTGAAAGGCTAAGACACTCATTTCTTGGTAGATTCTAACTTATTAAATATTTTTTTTGAGGTCTCATAAAGTATTGAGTTAGGTCTCTTTTTACCTCATAAAGTGAAGAGTTCAAGATTATACAAAGTTGGTGTTTATTATTTCTCTTGCATGATAATATTATTACTAAGAAGTTACATTATTTTTTGGAGCTTTTTTTGTAGCAGCAACAACAACAACAACAGTAACAATAACAAAGCTTTAATCCCACTACATGAGTTCGACTACATAAATCATTTTTCTCCATTGCGTCCTATTTAGTGTCATATTTTCATTTAGTTCTAATAAATTAAGATCATTTTTTATACAATAAGCCCATGTCTTCGTAGGTCTGCTTCTCTTTCTTAATATACGCCGAATCTAAAGCATCTACTCTCCTAGTAGGATCATCGAATGGTAGACATTTAATGTGACCAAACCATCTAAGTTGACTTTCTCTAAGTCGACCATACCTGCATTAGTGCACTGGATCCCATCAGAACTCCGCAGTTAAACGTGCTTGGGCGAGAGTAGTACTAGGATGGGTGACCTCCTGGGAAGTTCTCTTGTTGCACCCCTCCATTTAATGGAGTGAAGGTTGTTGAGCTGCTGGGGTGTTTTTGAGTTGGTTGTCAGGCATGCAAGCACTGACTAGTGTTTTCATAGTCTCATGGGCAAGTGACATTCTATAATTAATATTGTCATTGTTGATCTCAAGCCGATGTGTGAAAAGTGGAGGGTTGCATTAGGAAGTCGACACCCAGCATAAAACTTGTCGCAAAAAAATCATGACATGAATCTTTTTGATCATTGTGTAAGTTATAGGGTGTCCTCTTGAAGCGACATGTTGTATGACCTGAATATAGTGAAAAGTGTGCAAGGGCAGCTACACCGACTCCCAGGTATAGTGTCAAATAAGCAAGAGTTTCTACATTGCAGACGGATGCAGGTAAAGAAATTAGTCCATAAAACTAATGAAACTAAAATTAGGATATAATCTTTGAATATAGATACTCTCAAATGATAAATTAATGGAATTAGTTAATATTATGATTCATAGAAAGATTAATATCTTATGTATTCAAGAAATTAAATGTACACTAGAAAATGCTAAAGAGATTGATAAATAAGGCTTTAAACTTTGTTATTTTGTAAGAGTCGCACTAGAAAAGGTGCAGGTGTAATTATAGATAACAGTTTGAAAGATAATGTTGTAAAAATTAATAGAGTTGGTGATAGAATTATAGAGTTTAATAGAGTTGGTGATAGAATTATAGCCCTTAAGATTATTATTGATACTATGATTTTTAATTTTATAAGTGCATGAGCTCCTCAAGGAGGTCTAGATATAAGGACAAAAGTAAACTTTTGTGATGAGTTAGAAGAAATAATACAAATGATACCTCTTTAAAAAAAATTTTAATTTGAGGAGATTTAAATGGATATGCCGGTAGAGCGGCAGAAGATTTAAAAAATATTCATGATTGCTATGATTTTGGAGTGACGAATGAAGAAGGTAGAGCCATTTTAGATTTTGATTTAGCATATGATTTTGTTATTATTAATATTTTATTCAAGAAAAGAGACGAGCATCTTATTACTTATAAGAATGAATCTAATAAAACACAAATTGATTCTTTTCTTATGAGAAGAAGAGATCGTCGATATTGTAAAGATTGTAAGATCATTCTAAGTGAAGATTTAAGTACCTAACATCAATTATTTGTTCTAGATTTCAAGATGAAAATTTGTAAAATAAAGAATAATAGGACTCGTTTTCATATAATTAAATGGAGAAACCTAAAAAACACAAATAAAATTATTTTTATGAGTAAAATTAAAGATTTCAAAATTTGGGATGTTCATGAAGATGCAAATGCTATGTGGAATGAAGTAACAAACACTATTAAACCAGTAGCAAAAGATGTACTTGGAGAATCAAAAGAAAAAGTTTTTATAAATAAAAATAGTTAATAGTTAGTGGAATAATAATGTGCAAAAAAAGATAAAATATAAGATGTTATGTTATAAAAGTTGGTTTAATTGTAAAAGCTTAGAGAACTAAGAAAAATATCAAATGACTTGCAGAGAGTTTAAAAGAACAATCTGTGACGCTAAAAATTTTGTTTTTAGTGATCTATATGATAGATTAGATACTAAAGAGGGTGAAAAATATATGTATAAACTAGCAGAACAAAGAGAAAAGAAAAGTAAAGATTTGACCCAAGTACAGTGTATTAAAAGTGAAAATTAGAAAGTGTTTTTCATAGAAAAAGATATTCAACATAGGTGGGTACTATTTTGATAAAATTTTTAAGGAAGTTTCTAAAAAATACGATCGACCTTAGTGATCTTAATATCGTTAATAATAATAAAATGTTTCATTTTTACCATGACATTAGTAAACAAGAAGTTGAGAAGGCTTTAAAGAAAATAAAGAGTGAAAAGTCTGTAGGAACTTATGATATCCCAATTGAAGTGTGGAAATATTAAAGAGATTTGAAAGTTTCTTGGCTTACTAAACTCTCTACTATTATTTTAAAAGCTAAAAAGATGTTTGAAGAGTGGAAGAAAAATATTTTGGTCCCTATTTTTAAGAATAAAGGGGATGCACAAGAGTGTACAAATTATAGAGGAATTAAGTTGATGTGTCATACTTTAAAATTATAGGAGAGGGTAATTGAACATAGGTTAAGACATTATAATGATTTCTCATAATCAATTTGATTTTATGCCGAGCAGGCCTACCATGGAAGCTATACATTTATTGAGAGATATGATGGAGAAGTTCAGAGATAATAAGGAGGATCTATATTTAATTTTTATTATTTTAGAAAAAGCTTACGATAAGGTTCCAGGATATGTCCTTTGGAGCGTTCTTGAGAAGAAAGGTGTTGATAGGACTTATATTCAAGTCATTAAAGATATGTATAGTAGAGTTTATACTTGTGTTCAAACTAAAGGAGGATTAACCAAATATTTTCTTATTTTTGTTGGATTAATTTTTGTTGGATTACATCAATTTTTGTTGGATTACATCAAGGATCGGCTTTAAGGCCATATCTTTTTGCTTTAGTTATGGATGGTCTAACTGGATATTTACGGGAGGATATACCTTAGTGTATGCTTTTTGCTAATGATATCATTCTCGTGGATAAGACAAGAGAAAAAGCTCAGAAAAAAAAACTTGAATTATGGGGGTATACATTGGGGTTTAAAGACCTTCATTTGAGTAGAACTAAAACTGAATACATATAATGTAATTTTCGTAGTAGTAGCTCTAGTGACAGAAGACAGAAGTGTAAAGACAGAAGTGTAAATTTGGGTGATCAAATTATTAAACGGTGTGAACGATGTAGATATCTCGGGTCTGTTGTTCAAAGCGATGGTGACATAAATGGGGGTGTTAATAGTAGAATTCAAGTTGGTTGGTTGAAATAGAGGAATGTTTCGGGTCTTTTGTGTGATAGAAAAATACCTCTTAGACTGAAAGGAAAATTTTATAAGAGGGTGGTGAGACCTGCAATACTTTATGGTGCTGAATGTTGGCTTCTAAAAGAGAAGCATAATATTATGTTAAGTGTTGCCGAGATGAGAATGATTAGGTGGATGAGTGACTTTACACTTAGAGACAAAATGTGAAATGAATATATCCGGGATACGGTTGGTATAGCTCTAGTGACGAACAAAATTAGAGAGAGTCTTCATAGATGGTTTGGTCACATTAAACATCAATCATCTGATGATCCGATTAGAAAAGTATATATTTTAGATTTGACTATGTTAATAAAGGCAGAGGTAGACCTAGTAATACTTGGGTTTATTGTGTAAGAAATGGTCTTAATTTATTAGAACTAAATGAAAATATGACACTAAATAAGACACAATGGAGAAAAAGGATTCATGTAGCTGACCCTACATAGTGGGATTAAGGCTTTGTTGTTGTTGTACTAAAGCTACACAAACCCTATCACAAATATATTCATTTCGCATTTTGTCTCCAGATGTAAAGCCACTCATCCACCTAATCATTCTCATCTTGGAAACACTATTTGTAAATGGGAATTTAATTTGAGCATGGATTATGCTCATGCCATATAGTTGGGATGATTAATCAAACTAAAATTGTTAATGGAAATGATGTGGTTTCCAAATGGTTTTGATGTAACAATGTGTCTTTTATGAATTTTAAATGCATGTTTGGTACTTTCTTTTGGAAAAAAATTGTTTTTCGAATTAAGTGTGTGTTTGAGGCACCTACAGCTTATTAATAAGCTGCTGATAATCAACTTTCGCAGAAAAGCTATTGCGTAGCAGCTGATCTAGATAATCTGATTGGCTATTTCACTTGTACTGTTGAAAAACAGTTGTTTGCAACTATTTCTGCATAAATGATTATTCTGCCCCTGTGCAGTAATGTTGTTTGCAATAGAACCGTCATAACAATATATTGATAACATTATAAAAAATAAAATATTCACCTTACTTAATAATGAATATCATGATTATTACAATAAATAAAAAAATTAAAATAATATTTAATATTATGATAATATTAAATTTAAAGTGGAGACAACGTATGTTAGCAGCTATGCCGTCCTCCAGGGATAGTCTGCACCCCTGGTCACACTCGACGGTTGATTCTTCGAGCCTATTTGCTCACCAGAAGAAGTCACATTCTACGTGATTCGCCGCGAGCACCTATAAAACTGTCACCCGTAGGTATGTGATTGATATGACGCCAGCAAGGATGTCTGAAGTATGCAGTAACATAGTATTCGTCGAGAAATCATTGAAATCCTGGAACTCATCTTTCGTGAATGCTTCAAAAGACAATCCATCATTCATTAACAGTATCAATTACAGTTTTATGCAGATATGAGGTCTCAGAGAACTCAGTGTACCAACCAACGAAAAAATATATTTGCATTCATATCACCCAATTCATATGTATTTATATTTCTAATGTATAAATTATAGTTTTTATGGATACAAGTTTTCATGCCTAAATAATATGGCAAGTGTTGAAAATTTAAATTAGGCTTTAGATTTGTAAGTACATGAAATTATGGTAAGTATCTGAATCTTCCCTTAAAAAAAAAAAATGAAGTTAGAATTTGAAGCGGCGCAATTTGTGAGCTCGAGGTTCGGATAAGAAGGATGAAATGGGTTTCCTCTGATTTTCGATTTGCCCGTGTCACCCACTTCGACATTACACAGAGTCCCCCCACCAAAAACCCTAGCTCCATTTATGCTTGTCGTCCTCGATCCCATGAACACCCCCGCGTCCCCTTCCTGCAAAATCCAGTGCTATAATTACAACTGAAGAACACCTCGTAAATCTGCTACAGTAATGTCAGCCTCATCCACAGCTTTTCCTCCTCATAGTTCATTAACAAAGCAGAAAACCCGGCGATTTGCATCAATAATCTCGAACAGAAGCCGTCCCGAAAGTCCTCTTTTTGGTTATCTGCCTGCTTTCCCTTGTACCGTGCACCCTTATCGGCGATTGTTGTTATACCAGAGCAAGCCTATCTTTTCGAGAAAATCAGCTCGGCGGTGGATTGGGGCTCTCTTTTCAGGTAATGGAATAGATTTTAGATTATTAAAGTCATGGGAGTGAGGAATTTGACCCGAAGTTTCGAATTTTCAGACGAAGCTATTGGTGATGTGCATCACAGGGATCAAGGCGAACTGAGCTTGGATGCATTCCTCTCAGCTGCTGAAATTCTTTGCATTCTGCCGCCTTCCATTTTTTCGATAAGCTGCTTGCTTGGTTTGGTGATTCCTGGCGCTTCTAAGCTGTTTCAAATTTCGCTTGGAAACCAGTTTTTTGTGTGGCAGTTTTTTTTCTTGGTTTCTGCGGTGGCGATTGGGGGGTTGCTTCGCAGAAGGCAGTGGCGGAGGATTTGTGGGGAGAATCAGAGAGCTTCTGGCGTTGATTTGATTGCGAGGATTGAGAAGGTGGAGCAGGATATGAAGAGCTCGGCCACAATTAGTCGAGTGTTGTCTAAGCAGCTTGAGAAGCTTAGCATTAGGTTTAGGGTAACAAAGAAGGCTCTGAAAGACCCCATTGCTGAGGTAAACCTTCTGTGCAGATTTTCATTCTGTTTTGTTTTCTTCCCCGTGCCTAAATTGTACTTGATTTCCTATTGTAATCACTTTTGAAGCATGGAATCCCTAATTGTTAGGTAGTTCTATCAAATTAGTGGCACATCTTGTACAAAATTTTGTAGGTTTTGATACGTATGTAGACTTCAATATTATTTTAACCTAAAAAGTGTGGTTTTGGTATTGAGGAAACGCTTATGCTGCAGATTGTGTGGGTTTTTCTGGACATTTTGATTGAACAAGAATTCTTTTTTGCAGACAGCAGCATTAGCAAAGAAAAACTCCGAAGTGACCCGTGCCCTGGCGATCCAAGAGGACACTCTTGAGAAGGAGCTTGTTGAGATTCAGAGAGTCTTGTTGGCAATGCAGGTAAAGCTGATACAGTCTTTCAATCTTTGGTCTTTCTCCTAGTGTGACAATACCTGTTACAGTTGGACTTTCTCCTAAAAAATGCTATCAAGACAAATGTGTTATATTGATAAAATAACTTTGATAGGATGACTTGGCTAATTTGAATTTCAGCAGTCTTATCCTTTAGACATAAAGAACGATTTGAGCTTGATGCTGGTTTATTTTTTTAATGTTTTATGCAACATTTTGACAACTGCACTTTAAGGTTCAAAAGTTGAACATTGGTTTTACCCGGGGTTGAATTGGTTAATATAATAAATATTTAATTATTTAAATATAATTTAAAATAATGTGACCATAATATAATATGTATGCTATATTTATTTAAAATAAAAAATATAATATAAATATGTAAATATAAGTTTATAATATGTTATACGAATTCTTGCAGCCCAATTCTTACAGTCTAGTCTAATTCCTATAGTCTAATTCTTCATTTCTATAGTTATTTGTTAACCTCATTTTTTAGCAAGGTCTTTCTCTCTCTCTAGAATTTAGGGTTTTAGCCTTAGGATTTTCTAGTGGCTTTGCCTATAGGATTAGTGTTGAGACCTATACCAAATAGAAATTGAACTATTTCTTGACTCATTCTAGTTTCAAATATTTGACCTTAAATCCTCAACCTCTGTTGAGTTGATGGAGGCCAATACATTGAAGCTTAAGTTGAGTTTTTATAGGTCTGATATGCCCTAAGCAACCCTTTGACTTTAGAGACTTAGGTGATGCATTCCCTTTAGTTCAATATTTCGTTGGACTCAAGAGAGGGACAAAGCAGAATCCCTCTGCGCTGTTGGAAACTCACCAACGAAATTCAAAAGAACTCATGAAGTAGTAGCAATAGTCAATGCCCCCATCTATTTTTCTTACTCCATTTAAATAATAGAAACATATTACAAACCTCCCATCCCAACTGGGAAGGTAATAACCTATAAAATTACTTTTAAGGAAAGCAAATAAAGGAAAACATAACATGAAAAGGAAAAACTTTAATTAACTTCTAAAACGGGAGCCTTTAATTGAGCTTCTTAATTCAAATTCAAAATTTGAATTTTGAATTTTGAATTTGAATTTGAAACTTTAATTAGGATTTATTGCCCTTCCTGATTTGTCTCGGTTTCCAATTCCTCCTCCATAATTTGAAACTTTAATTTAAATTTTTAATTTGAAATTAGGATTTATTGTCCTTCCTGATTTGTCTGGGTTTCCAAATCCTCATCCATAATTTTCTCTGGATTTGCATCAATTGCTGACGCTTCTGAAGAACTTGACTCCGACAAGTTATGTTGACGGTTAGTAGCAAAGAGATGTGGATTTAAACGTTGGAGCTCAGATACTTGTAACCAAACAGAGTCAGAATTTGGACGATTTTTCCATTGGACTAAGAACTTGAAATATCCTTCCCGACGAGTCGAAACAAATTGATGGTCTAGAATGACAACAATCTCATCTCGTGGTATTGTATTTTCTGGCATTCGCATGATCGATGATTCGTTTCGAGCTGGTAGTGCAGAAAAGTCACGGTCATCTCCTTTGAATGCAGTAAGGTCTTCAATGTTAAACACTAGGCTAATGCCGAAGTTAGAGGGTAGCTCAATAACATAGGCATTAGTTTCTAATTTCTTGATAACTTTAAAAGGGTCTGTTCGGCGGGCATGATGCTTGGTAAAACTCCCCGGAAGAAAACTTTCCGGCTTTAACCGAATAAGGACCAAATCCCTTTTGTTAAATTGACGATCCTTACATTTTGAGGACGCTGCATAGGAATTTGTGTGGAACGTAAGGCGCCGCTTGCATTCTTCGTGAATAGTTTGCATATAACTAGAAAAATCCACTGCAACCTCACGTTGCCCGGGCGGCAACGGTAATGAGTTGATATCTAGTGGAGTGTTGGGTCGAAAACCATAAACCACTTCGAATGGAGCACAACCTATTGATCTATTAACAGGGTTATTGAAGGCAAACTCTGCATGAGGAAGTATCATATCCCAGCTGGTAACGCGATCCGCAACAAGACAGCGTAGTAAGTTCCCTAAACTTCTGTTGGTCACTTCAGTTTGACCATCAGTTTGGGGGTGAAATGCACTTGAAAATATCAACTTGGTTCCCATTTTTGCCCACAGAGCCTTCCAAAAATAGCTTACAAATTTGACATCTCTATCGGGCATTATGGAGGATGGGACACAATGTAAACGAACAACCTCTTTCATGAATATTGCTGCAACTTTGGATGCATCAAATGTTTTGTGGTATGGAATAAAATGAGACATCTTAGAGAAGCGATCTATCACCACCATGATTGAGTCGTGTTGCGGAAGAGTCTTGGGCAACCCAAGAACAAAGTCCATACTTATGTGTTGCCATAGTTTGTCTGGAATGGGAAGTGGTGTGTAGAGTCCAGGCTGCTGCTTGGTCCATTTGTTGAGTTGGCAAACTCGACATTGGTTAATCACGATGTTCACATCTCTGCTTAGTCGAGGCCAATAGAAACGATTAACCACAATAGCATAGGTTTTATCATACCCGAAATGCCCCGCCAAACCCCCACCATGGATCGGAAATTAGAAACTCTCGCATTGACTTGCGCGGAATGCAGAGGCGAGACTTGAAGAATAAGAAGTCCTCCCGCAACATGTAGTCATTACCCGATGGCCGGTTGTGCTTGAGATCATTCCATACCTTGCTGAAATCTTCGTCATCGGCATCGGCATCAGCATATTCGATTTTGAGACTGTTGAATTCTGTAGTATTGATGGTAGATAAATGTAACATATGAGGCCTTCTGGTCAAGGTGTCTGCCACCTTGTTCTCCGCCCCCGACTTATGCTTAATAAGAAATTCAAATTGTTGTAGGTAATCCATCCAACGTGCATGTCTTGCATTCATTTTGCTTTGAGAATTTAAGTGCTTGAAGGAGTCGTGATCGGTATAAAGAATGAATTCCTTATGGATTAAATAAGGCCGCCAGTGCTTCAATGTTTGAATTAATGTATAAAATTTCATATCATAAACTGAGTAATGTCTGCGAGTCTCGTTGAGTTTTTCACTGAAAAAGGCAATGAGATGACCTTCTTGACTCAGAACACCTCTGATTCCCACATGCGAAGCATCACACGCCACCTTTAAAATTTTAGAGAAATCTGGCAATTTGAGTACCAGTGCTTGTCCCATTTTTTTAATCTCATTGAAAGCTTTTGTTGCCGCAGCACCCCACAGAAAATTTTTTTCTTTCAAGTACTTAGTGATTGGGGCCATTATGGTGCTGAAATTGCAAATAAATCGTTGGTAGAAGGTGGCAAAACTATAGAAGCTTATGACTTCAGAGAAATTCCGGGGTGTTGGCCATGCCTGGACAGCGTGCACCTTTACGGGATCGGCCTCAACTCTCTGGTTTGAGATGATAAAACTGAGGAACTTGGCACTTGTCTTCATAAACGAACACTTCTCCCTATTAATAAAGAGTTGTTCCGCCTTCAAGACCTTTAGTACATGTTTGATGTGGCTCAAATGTTCCTGCACGCTTCGACTGAAAATTAATATATCATCAAAGTATACTACAACAAATTTACCCAAAAAAGGCTTGAGGATTTGCGTCATGACCCACATGAACTTGTTGGGAGCGTTCGTTAATCTGAAAGACATAACTAACCATTCAAACAACCCATCTTTTGACTTGAAGGTCGTCTTCCATTCATTCCCTGGTCGAATCCAAATTTGGTGATAGCCACTCCGCAGATCTAACTTTGTGAAAACAGAAGAGCCACTTAGCGAGTCTAACATGTCGTCGAGCCGTGGGATGGGAAATCAATATTTCATGGTTAGTTTGTTGATTGCGCGGCTATCTACACACATCCTCCAACTACCATCTTTCTTCGGTGTTAACAAAACTGGAACAACACAGGAACTAAGGCTTTCTCGAATAAACCCTTTGCCTAGCAAGTGCTGAATTTGTCGGCTAACTCTTCGTTTTCCGTCGGACTCATCCGATAGTGTGGGACGTTGGGCAAAGTTGAACCGGGGATCAAGTCAATAGCATGTTGGACTTCCCGAAGGGGAGGGAGTTGATTCGGTATTTCATCTGGCATGATTTCCTGGAATACTTCCAGCAATGCTAAGAGCTCCGGTGGAATGTGATCGTCCCCTTGCGTCGCCTCAGGTGTAACTATCATAAGCACCATCTGGTGGTCATGCATAGTGTGAGTGAATGAGTGCATCGCCAGAACTGGGCACGCTTCTCAAATTCCGTAACCTGCAAGGGATCTAAAACAAACTTTTTACCTTTAAAATCAAAGGAGTAAGTGTTAGCGTACCCGTCATAAATAACTTTCCGATCGAAGAGCCTAGGTCGCCCCAATAACAGGTGGCAAACAGTCATAGGAATTACATCGCACCGTGCTTCATCTGCGTATGTTTTCCCCAACAAGAAGTTAATCAAACAACGTCGCTTCACAAGAACAAAATTAGTTTCATTAACCTAACTAATCCGATAGGGAGCGGGGTGTTTTTCTGTCTTTAATTTCAGTCGTTCTACGGCGGTTTCAGAAATCACATTCATGGCACTCTCATTGTCAATAATTACGTTCAACGCTCGACCGTTATGCTCTAGTCGTGTATGAAAAATATTGGTGCGCTGCCACTCAGGGATGGTTTGAAGTTCTTTTTTTGATCCCGTCAATACTCTCTTGATTACGCAGCTGGGTAACTCGGACGTGCTCAAATGTTCTTCACTGTGAATATCCTCATCGAGATGTCCTCCGTGTCTTCTCCCACCTCCACCTCCAGTAGCTCCTTCTCGCAAATAAAGACTAATTTCTTGTCTCTTGTCGGACATACGACGGCATAGTGTCCGAAGCCTTTACACTTATAACATTGGGGTCCGTCGCTGGTAACCTTTGTTTTTCCCTTTAAGTCTCCACTTTCCACGACTCTTAAGTGATCTTTCGGAGCTGATGCTCTTTGGG